TCACACAAAAGCATTTTGATTAGCTATTTATATTTTTATTGCAATGTTCTCTGTAGATTATCATAATACACTCTTGATCAAAAATTTAAGACCACTTGAAAACTTTTTTAAAAAGACTGTTTTTCATGGAAAACTTTTAAACATTTCTTATTTAAGGTGACTAATTTTATAATCTAAAAGGTTATGTAGACAAGAAGTTATAATCTGAACATTTCATTGAGAAATTGACATTTTTATAAAATGAGGCGTTTTACACTTGATCAAAATTATAAGACCAGAGGAAAAAATTCTACGAAATTGTACGAAAACATTCAATAACCAAATTTAATAATCAGTTCTACCTCCACTGGTTTAGATGACTTCGAAAATTCTTTGGGGCATGCTAGAAATTAGTGTTTCCGTTAAGCTGCGAGGAATATTGCTCCAGCTCCTGAAGATAGCTTCACGAAGTACATTTTTTGTTTGCCATTTCGATAAACATCTCTTGCCATCCATCCCCAAACATTTTCAATTGGGTTCAAGTCAGGTGAGCATGCAGGATATCTCAAGAGATGGACTCCATTTTCTTGTAGAAAAGTCAAGGTCCGGCATGGAGAGTGGCTTGCAGCATTATCCTATTGGAATAACCATCCATCCCGACAAAAACGATGGCCCTCCGTCATCAACGATGCTTTTTGTGACATGCTAACATAACCAGCCGCTGTCTGATGACCCTGCACTACCTGAAGCTCCATCGTCCCTCTGTAAGAAAAGGCACCCCATACCATTAGGGACCCTTCACCACTATGACATGTGGATAAAGTTTCAGGAGACATGTTTTTGTTATGCCAATATCGTTGGAAGCCATCCGGACCATAAAGATTGAATTTTTTCTTATCAGAAAATAGGACTTTCTTCCACTTCTCAATGTCACATGTTTGGTATTCACGACCAAACCGTAAACGGTTCATTTTGCGACGCGGAAGCAGCCGAGGAATATGTTTGCGCTTTTTATTTACCATGCATTTTTGTCGTAAGTGTCGTCTGATGGTTACTGGACTGCAATCAGCATATGTGGCTGCCTTAATTTGACTAGAAGAAAGTCCACTGGCTTTCACAACAACCCGTCTTATTCTCCTACTCAATGCCGGAGAAATTTTTGGGGACATACTAGTAGACTTTGCGTTTCCATAATTCGCACTGTCCTTTAGAAAGTGGCAAATCACAGTTTTACTGCGATTTACCCTAGCTGCAATCGCCCGCTGTGACAAACCTTGATTATGGAAATCTAGAATTCGAGCACGCTCAATTTCGGTAAGTTTGCTTGCTTTAGGCATGGTGACACCTTTACGAAGTGATTGCTAATCTCTAACTAAACTAAAAACACTGGAATTACCCTAGATCTAACAAGTTATCTACCCTGGTTTTATAATTTTGATCAAGTATAAAACGCCTCTGAATAAATTTATCGGATTATAACTTTTTGTCTACATAAACTTTTAGATTATAGAATTAGTAACCTTAAGTAAGAAAAAAGTTTATAATGTATCCATGACAAACAGCCTCTTATAAATTTTTTTTCAAGTGATCTTAAGTTTTTAATCAGGAGTGTATTCAGAAGATAAAACACACTGATTGACATGATACGTTCTTATTTGTGGTCTTCACAAATAAGAACGTGTCATGTCAATCAGTGTGGCAATTTGATAAAAAATGTTACAGTCACATTTTTACTGAACACGAATCCAGTCTAATGCTTTGTATTAGTAATAGTATACGCACAATTAGTATATTTTAATTCGTACAACACTTTTTACGACACTTTGAATTTCGATAACGGACCAGCATGTCAATAAGCATGTTCAAGACTGCCGAACTTCCAATAAAAATTAAAATATGAATTCTTCAATTACCAATGCTAATTTCATGAATCACTCTGATCACTGTCTAACGCTGAAGCAGATTCTGACATAAAATTTTGTGTTAAAACAGTGAGCTATATTTTTTTTCTTTTTTGACAATGGTGTTTACCTTGCACAAAGTCCGGGGGCCACTCACGATAGAGGTTACAGATTAACGGGAACGGCTTATGCGGATATATGTAGAAGATAATTGTTAACAGTAAACTTGAGCAGATTAAGATTGTAGTGATCGGGGAAGCAACGTCTTCAGAGTCGATTTCACAAGGCAATGGTTTGTGGTTGGTAGATATTAGGGTGTAATATCTCATCAAAGCAATACGAACGGAATGCATGTATTTCTCTAGAATGTGCGGGTCATGGCGGGCCTTAGCTGTGAAGGTTAAGATTGGTGGAAATAACGATAGAGCAGCGAGAGGCTTGCGATGTCTCGTCTGTGAGAAAGGGTGGTAGGATGGAAAATAATTCGTTACCCACAAGGACTCGAAGATTGGCCAGGTGATATTTGTTTAGACACTCACTTATTCTGCAGAAACTTAGAATATAATAAATACTTTTATCGGGTCTTCAATTAGCATCTAATAAGTAGAAACTATTTCTTA